TTGGTAGTTTATGTTTAACACAGTACTGTACTGTATTTGCCTTTTTTTTTTTTTTTTGGTCTCTGCTGCTGCCTGATTAAGTACTTCCAGTTCCAAATGAGGTGTGTGGTTGACTGGTCAGTTCGTAACTCTGAGGTTCGACTGTATTTCCAATTTGAACATGTCTGGCTTTAACTTCCAGCTGCGGGTTCTTGAACTTTAACGTTAGGTGCAGAGGAATGTGCCTAAAATGAACCATTTGAAAACCCAGGCTGCTACCCAGTTCTACAACCCCACAAATCCACCTCCATATCAAGACTTCCTACCTCACTCTTTACAGTACCGGACGTATTATTCTAGGGCCATTTTTCTTGCAGACATGGGCTAAAACTTCCACTTTTTGCTTCATTACTAACCAGAAACCTCATTAATTTAAACCAAAATTCACAGCAATATTAAGAGCACTAATCATTTAGTAAAACTATGAAATTTGTGTGTGAAGGATCCAGCCCTATTTAAACTGATGGGAAAACAATTTGAAGGAGTGTCTTCCACTTTCCAAAGAACTAATTTTTGGATGATTCTATTCTACTTGAGTTATTATACTGCACTCATCACCCTAGTATCTAAGCACCAGTACCCAAGACTCCTCAGTCCTATGCCATTGAGAAGTGGCCTTGAGAGGACTGACGCCACCATTGGCCAGAGGCTGGCCCTTTGGGATCACGACACCCACCTTGGAGACAAAATCCCCACACATCGAACGCTGAAAAAAATCAGATCTGAGGTCAGGAGGGGACACTGCTCAGTCACAGATTGTCAGTGGTTGCATGGTCACCCACAATTAACCTGGCTGCACCAAATCAGTACTCACACTGTGGAGCACTTAGACGCCTGGAATAAAGCCCTACAGTGCGGTCACGGCCATTCAGTGCTATAGACCTCCACGGCGTAAGCATGGTATTGTTGCTGCTGTTGTTGCAGACCTGACATATTTATAAAGACCACTGAAGTCAACAGGAGTTTTGCATGAGTAAAAACTTCGGATTCAAGACTTTGTTTAAAAAAAAAACTGGTCCCAAATCTTCAAACTTTTAGACCCCTTCATTTTTATTTTAGAGGTTAACTAGGTGGCCTGATTTTCAGAGCTGTGAACCCAGATTTTCAGAGCTGGGTTAAGATGCTTATACTTCCAAGTCTGAACATTTTAGCCTTTTCTTTTTAAACCGGCTTAAGCTAATAGTGCATCTAATATTTTCCAACTAACTATGACACCTGGCATTTTTCTGATTTCCAACCCTGTGTTATCCTACCCATTTACCTAGCTATAGCAGGTGATCTGCAAAAGAATTATTCAATTCCTCTCCAAGTATTTCTCTTCAACATGTTTTACCATGTTTTCCTACCTCCCTAATACCACTTAAACACATAATGTTCCATCTATCATGTCAATGTAGATTGCTTTCACTGTGTGGTTCTCTCTCTCTCTCATTATCCTACCTTTCTCCCATCCAGTCACATCATCCAAATCCTCTTAAGCTCTTCATAAGATGCCTCTATAACTCTTACTGCATAAAGCTACACCTCTTCATCTGCATCAAATCGTCCTAATCCTCTCCTCCTACATCTTAGTGTCATAATCCTTTTCCTCCACATTTTACTGCTGTGACTATTTCCACTGAGCAATAAAATGCAGTCATATACACTTACGGCTGAATTCTCAAAAAGTTCTCAGCGCTGGCCTAACTCTGTTCCCACTGAAATCAGTCATAAAACACCCAGTCTAGCCAACATTCCCTGCTTTTGAACATGCTAGCCCAGCATTCTCTTTCCATACATTCCCTCATTTCAGGTTTCTTGGCATATCCTTCCTATTTCTTTCCTAACTACAGTAACTGAATTATGAAATAGTTAATTATTCACACTGTGGCCTGTAAAAGAAATACTGAGATCCGTATGCTAATATTGCAATAAATTAATTACTGTATAAGAACCTACAGGAACCCTCTGACCATTCATATATGTTAATTACCATTAATTACCCATGGTAGCAATATGCAGTTGAGCATGGAACTGGGAGGGAACTCATTCAATGACCAGAAATTCATCCTGCTGCTACAGGAGCCTGGAACGGTTGAGGACAGAAGGCAGTAGGCTACCCCCTCCAAACAAACACAATCCCAAAGGACATCGCCATTTCAGACTGTGCAGAAGAACATTCATATATATATATGAATGATCAGGGGTTTCCTGTAGGTATATATACACACACACATATACACAAAGATAGATAGCTAGATAGATATCATTAGTTTATGGCATAGAATTGAGAGTGTGTATCTTAAAGTGGACTGTGGGTAGCTAGTAGTCTACATTTTGTTCTCTCTGGGCAAAATTCAGATGTGTGTGCACTGTGCATGCAGGGCTACTGGTCTCAGAGATCCATATTTTAAAGCTCCTGCCCTTCCCTTCAACACTCACGGAGGGTGCACCGTAGGGCACTAGAGAGGAAAAGCTACAACATGGGCTACCACTCTATCACCTGCCTTCATCCCCACCAGAAATGGCCAGGGCATCTGATGAGCCCTGTGGGGAAAAATGGGGGTTGGACTTATGATCTGCGGGGTCCAACGTAAGAGCATAGCCCAAAATTTCCAGAAGGCAAAGAGAGCCAAGTATTTCCTCCCTCCTTGCTGTGGGATTGGAGAGGAATGTTGGGCCAGGATGCAAGTTGAAGAGCCTGTATAGGACTCTGTAAAGCCTCTTGGGATTAACCCTGCCTTTGGGCCATCCTTCATTGCCAAGCCATGTGCCCAAAATGGAGCAGAAAACTTTTCATAAGTGCTAGGTCAATAGGTGCTGATTCCACAGCAATGACTTCTGATGGATATGCCTTGAGCATTGCTTCAAGATGCAGCTTGTAGCCAAGTTCCTTACCCATTCCCTTCTTTTTTCTTCAGTGCCACAGTGAACAATTTGAAGTCAAGGCATTTTCCAGAAGAAACATCTGTCTTTCTGTTACCTAGCTCCAGGAGGAAATTGAGCCACCTTCTCATCAGACCTATAGTACGTGAAAATATTTCTCACAGCACTTCCAACCTGAGTATCTCAATTTCCTTATCACATCAATATCATTTGGGAGAACTGCTGGTACCAAGCCCAAAAGTTCTCTCTCAGGAAAGCCGTCAGTTCAAAAAAGTCAAAGCCAAATGAAGATAAAGCACAAACGACAACCTTTTAGAAAACAAAAAACCTGCAAAAAAGATGTACATTTAAACTGTAATAAATGAAAAGACCTGCCATCTCTATCAGAAAAGACTCTGCTGGCACGCAGAGAAAAAGGAAAATTGAGTAGGGGAGAAGAGCTCAGTGCCTTATTATACAGGTGACTTCAAAGGCCCCTACAGCCTGTTTCTCAGGCACTAGTACTAGATTCCTAATAGCCATCCTTCTTTGAAATGTTCCAGATCTACCTGATGAAATTTGATGAAAGAGAAATACAAGAAATTGCTCGCTCACTTAACAGGAGTGGAAACTGTCAAATATCTACTTTGTTGGCAGCTTGGTGATAATTGCTCTAGGCCTAGAGTAGCTCACAATCCCCTTTTTGTTAGTGTTTGTTGTTGGTGAGGTTTTTTTTAATATTATACACACACACACAGAGCCAGTAATTTCTTGTATAATCAATGCCCTTTTACAAATATCCGAAGTGAGTTGCTTTCCATGACGCATTAGAGAAAGACGTTAGCAATCTGCAAAACTGCATATATAGTTTATATGCCGTGATGCATGTCCTGCTCGTTTTCCACATTCAAACACACAAACCTGAACACCCATTATATTTTTGTAAAATCAGGTTCTTGCTAACATGGAACTAGTATTTCTTCTTATGTTAATAAGATATGGTACATTAACAACCTTGTTAGGATCAGCTTCTTACATTGATTGTCTGTATAACTTGATTCCAGAGAGATAGCCCTCATATAAGCTTGCATTTAAACTGCAAGGATTATTACTTCTGTTACATTTTCTATAAATAAAATGGAACAATGTCAAAAGATTATACTGAGTAGAGAGGTAGGGGTGGCATTTAAAAAGAGCTTTGCAAAATCTGTACCAAAAAACCTGCGTTAAGAAATAGGGGTGTGGATTTTTTTAAAGTGAGGCTATATAATTGCAGTGATGAGATTTCTTTAAGGATTAAAAAAAATCACTTGTACTGTTCAAACAAATAACAGTTCAAATAATAAAAAATGAACACAGACTTTTTCATCTGTTTAACGTCCGAAGGATACGAGGCCCCAAAGGGAAATTAAAATGAGTTCTGATACCATTATGGCTGCATTTTAATAATGAATTTTGTCTACAGTGTTTCATGTATGCATTATTAGTTGTATTTATTGCTTGTTTCTCCATTATCTTAGCCTACAAGCTTGATTTTTTTTTAAAAATGTTATTAGGGCTAAAAGTTAAGAAGCTTTAATTCAGTGGCCTTTTAAGCTTTTCACTTTTTTCTCAAGTAGTCTATAAAAATTCAAGATATGGGTCTAATTAAGCCTTTTAAAATGCAGACAATACAGACAGTAGTGGAGTTCATCTCTCAAACAGAAGTTGAAAAAGACGTTGCAAGGAGGAAAGGAAAAACAGCAGGGTATAAATAGCAATTCTAGCCAGGATTTTCAAAACCATTCAGAGGTGGACTGGTCTCTGCTCTCACTGAAGTCACTGGGAGCTTGCCATTGACTTCAGTGGAAGAAGAGTTAGATCAACAGTGAACAATTTTTAAAATCCTGCTCCATAACTTTATAAATCACGCACACCATGGATATTCTTTTGTATTGCTTAGCAAGACACTTTCCCTTCCCATACAGGACAACGCTGCTTAGTGAAAAGCCCAACAGCCAAATTTTATCCTCCAATGTTTGCACAGAGTTTCAATTCACTATAGTGAGTATAAATGGGGCCCTAATTGAATTCAAAATTAGAAATAACCCAATTTCATACAGATTGAGATTGCTTACCTCGTCCACATTCTCAAAGGCATTGATGATGTCATAAGGTAAACAGGACAGGAGGTCTATCACAAACCAAGTTTTCAGGTAGTTCATCCTTATGAGTTTGGGATCAGATATAACCTCTCCCCCAGGGCCAACAAAGGTTGTATGAAAGTTTAAAACAATGTCAACCAGAAAAATAACATCCACCACACTGTCCAACACCAGCCAAGCTATGTTGTTCTGTTTTGTTTTGAAGGAGACATTGTAGGGGACCATAATTGCTGTATAGAAGGTTAGAATTAAGATGACCCAGTCCCAGGTGGTCTTAAAAGCACAATAGTGTAAAATAATGTGTGGTGGAGTCTTTGGAGCTTCTTGTTTATACTGAGGAAGAATATCAGACCCAAGCTGGAGAACCTATAAAAGGAAAGAAACACAGATGTTATGGCATTCAGTTAACATTCGTTATAATGGGTGCCTTCTGAATTTGTGTAATACACAGAATTAAGGAGAGAATGTTTTCGTTATACCCTGAAGGTTCCAAGGCTACCTGTAGTTTCTAAATTATTTAATTAGTTAATCTCATGAGCTCATCAGTGCATAAATCATGTAGGAATGGGTGGAGGTAGCTATCACTCAACGAATGGGAAAAGTGTAAAGCGTAAGGGTAATCTTACAAAAACAAAGATAATTTGCAGATGGACAGAGCGAAAACAAGGCCAACAACTACTGCTCAAAAGTTCAAAGTAAAAGTACTCTGCCAACTAACTGGCATGAGGCCCATCTGAATACAGCTGTGCCAGCTCAGGTCCTGCAGCTAAAAATATGAGATCCCCTTCATACCTACAGGTCCTGGAAAGCTTAGCTTTCATATCTGAACTCTATCTGAATCTAAAAAGTAGCCAAAACATTATCCTGCTCAACGACCTACTGGACTGTAGCCTCATTGGCTGACTTCCTTTTAAAGTAAAATACTAGGTTCATAAGATCTGGTCTAACTGCTTGCAATTATATGACTAGATGGGGTTACAATGTATGCTTCCTTACCTTTCTCTCCAGACTGCACAAAACGTTGTTGCCATTAAAAAGTCAATATGAAGTCATCATTGATGTTATTTTTCATTTGCACAGTCTCATTTCCAACTCACTAATGAAAACACTGAATAGTACTGACGTAGGACATATTTATATATTCAATACAGTTTCAAAAGTTTGTATTTTCCCAGTATCTTCTGCACACTCACCTTTGTAAAATCTAGAGCTGCAAACCTTGTAAAAGAGCCAAAACAATTTATTCTAGCTAGTCTGATTATCACTTATCTCAATCCAACATGAGAAATTAAAGTGGGAAGGAACAAAACAGTGATGACACTGGTTTACTAACTTATTGAGCTGCCAAATGAAAGACCTATATATACTTTGGAACCAACAGCAGATTTAGGATTCCAAATGGGTATTAGGATAGAGTACATGCATTCAGTCTCCAGGAACTGATTGTACTACTACGTCACTTTCAGTACCCCTTACTGGAGCTAATGTACCGTATTCACAGTGGCTGCTACATGGCAAACAGAACCGTCATACTTGTCAAAATATTCAAATCTGGAATGTATTCTTGATGACTAGGGAGTGAGAGAGTCTGAAATAAACAGAACAATATTTAAGTGCATGAAACAAAGTATCAAAGTGTTGCAATTACAAATTTGCAATTAGTTAATGTTTTTCATTCTTCCTTGTAGGAGAGGAAAGGTGTTGCTAAGATTAGGGTGTGAAATCCTGGCTGCATGGAAGTCAATGGCAAAACTCAATGGAGGCAACCAAGCAAGGCTTTTACTCAGAGAAGACAGTGAACAGTGCAGTGTTGTTAACAAAACATTCAAAATCAAGTTCTCCAATCCCTCCTTAAGTCCTTCCATTTACTCTTCGCCCCCTCACTTCGCCTGCCTGTAGCCTTGCTCCCCCCAGTTCCTCTGCTGGAGCCTGCTCACTCCCGGCAGCCTCTGTACTTCACTCTGGTGCTCCTGAGCATCCCACTCTCTGCAGTGCCCCACTGCTCTTTATAGGGGAGCCAGCGGATCCCTGCTTGCATGTGCCGCTTTAGTAACCAGGGCTGGCTGGCCCCAGATCTCTAGTCTCGCCCTTAAGGGGCTAGCCACTCTGTTACAAATTAAAAGAAAAAAAAACACTTTCAAGTTACAAGGTGTGCAATAGCTAACGAGGTAACTGTGATCCGATGGACACTACCTTCAATCCCCTCTACTCTTTGTTGCTCTCAATTGTTGAGTCTCATTTCAGATTAAACTGTAACCTCATTAGAGATTAGATCATGTCTCTTTCTGTGCTTTAAATATCCCCATGCTGTGCTTGATGGCATGTGGGAAGCAACAGGTTTGCCTGTGGAAGACCATGAGTTAAAAGGATCATTCCACTTCATGCTGCTCAGTTGTACTTGGACTTGTTTTCGTCTGCAAATGACAAACCCTGCTAATAGTATTGAAACGTAGGCAGCATATTCTGCCCTGCATAAGCTCTATCTCATCTGGAGTGGCAAACTTCTTGCCTAGAACCACTGGATACAACCAGGTTCACAGAGCACTGAGAAGTCATTGAGACAGAGAAGCTAGAGATAGGATCACCTCAGCTGTCTCAGTGGCTGTGGCGGATAGTTCGTGGGAAAAAAACAGCAGTGAGAAGAGTGGAAAACAGAAGAAGATTTCAACTTTGATTTCATTAAAGCAGAACCGTCATTATAAATGTGCACAAAAACTACGAAGAGAAGAGGATACATTTTATGCTGCCATCAATCTTTAACACTGAACTCAGTACAAAAGCCCTCTGGCACAGAGAGACTGGGACTGTCATTTTCAGTAGCTCATCTGAGGGGTGCTGAGATGGGCGGGGCGGTGTTAGGCTGGAAGGGGTTAATTTCTGCCATCAACTGGTTCTTTGATCTACAGACAATTCTAGAGCTGGTTGAAGTTGATGGCTCTGGAAAAAATGGAACACCCGGAAGGGAGAAATGGGAGATACAGAGTCCCTGTCTTCTGGTCAGCAAATCTTTTTTAACTGGTTAACCTGAAAGCATTCACCTGTTGCATTATTTGCACTGTTAAAGGAAAAGTTTGCAGGCTAACAGTGGTTTAATTTACAGCTTTTAAAGAACAAGATATGACAAAAATACAGCAGGAAAGACTTTAAAGCTGGGTGCAACAGATGCATGAACAAAAGCACACATGCACTCTCTGTGCATGCAAATCGCCATGCGGCCAAACAGGGACTCTTGTGGGATAGTACCTTAATCCTCAAGCAGTCCAATTTATTTCATTGGGATTACTTGAGAAGCAAATTACTACTCACTGGGAGTAAAGGTGTCACAATCTGTTCATATGTGAGTGTAAAACTGCATGCAGATGACATAACTGTGCACTCTGAGGTGCGCAATTACCTGATTAATGCACCAAAATGACAGTTACACAAACACGAACAAAGGGCCATGCAGGTAATAGAGGTCTGTGTATTTTTGCAAGGGAACCAGTCGTGCCCCATCCAGAAAAGGTGGCTGTATGTATTTAATATGCTCTTTCACATAAGTAAAAAATGTATTTTGAAATCAACAGCAGGGAAGACTATTCTTTATATTAAAATGTCAGTTAGTAATGATGCCAATTTTTTTATCCATCACCTCCTGTCTTTTAAACAAGGGCAGTCGGGAGTCTGTCTCACACTTACTTCAGCTAATCTTGAGTGTTTGTGCACCACCTCAGCTTTGTTCATTGGCGTTAGCTGCTGCAGAACACTTCGGCTGTTAGTCAATGCTCGTGTCAATCGAGCAAACTTTGTCCAACCTGTGAGGAAGAAGAAAATGTGCAAGTTGGATTTAGTTACAATTCAGCAAGTAGAAACCTCATTCGTGTGGACTGATGTTAGTTTCAGATTTGAATGGTCTCTCTCTCAGTTACTGCTTGCCATGGCATCAGACTCCAGACTTACATCCCCCGCAAAACAGAAAAATACCAACGTGTGCTGTAGGTACCTCTGCTAATCAAGAGTAAAAAATGAGTAAAACTAACACACTTTGGTATTTTCTTTCTTTTGTGTTTTTGAGAGACAGTTTATGCCGCAGGTGGAGTTATTCTGGTGTTGGAGCCAAATTCGAAGGCCACTGGAGTCAACAGAAAGACTCCCAACGATTTCCGTAGTCTTTGCATCAAGCCCGTCTCGAGTACTGCTGCTGTAATCCGGAGAACTCTGCCAGGGGCCTGATCCAAAGCCCAGTGGACAGACTCCCAGTGATTTATGGACTTTGGATCAGGCCCTACATACCTAAAGTTGACCCTTCCTTTACCCACCTCCCACCCCCCAAAAAAGATCCAACACCAAAAATAAAACTATAGAAACAAAACAAAAAAAATACAAATTGAAATTAAAGGCATGTTGATATCAATGCTGCTGGATGAAAATTCATACAGGTCTCAAGAAGTCACTTAAATAGATAGACTGAGGGCTACATTGTAAAACACAGTTAAGAAATGAATTCAGTTGTTAAACTAATGATAAAGAGCTACCTTAAAGGTGGCTTGGGAGCCACCCATTGGGCTGCCACCGGCGAACCCGCTTTCATAATTCAGCGTGGAGCAGTCTTTGCTTTATCACTGATAGCAACACAAACTGGGAGCTGCGGCACTATGCATTCCCAACCAAACAAACGCCAGTATGTTAGAGTGGTCACATATGTGTAAATGGATGAGAAGGAAAAGGGAGAAAAGAGAGGCAATGAAAATCCAAGGCCCTTAAGCAGGATAGCATCCAAGCTTTGGCCATAATGAAAATGAAGATCTTTTCCTTGGATGCTGGTGGGAAGGAAACACTCTGGAGCTACAATCAAATAGATTTAATTATTTTTTTTAAAAAAAGCCTTGCTTTAATGTATGCTTTTTTGTATTGTGTATACAAGTACATATATGTGATGCGAAAGTCACTTCCTTGCCAAATTTCAAGTCCCTGCTCCAAAGCACAGCAACAGTACAGCCTCTCAAATTAAAAGGTCAACAGATTTTTTTTTAACATGGCAAAACAACGTATTTGTCCCTAACCTCATCCTCAACAACAGCTGAACTAATTTAGCTAAAACTTCCCCACAAATTCCAACCTGATGGAGATGCTCTGCATGGAAAATTTCATCCCAAACCATTGCAAGTTGGCAAAGTTCTAAGCAACTGAAAAAGTCTTATAATGGGAAGAGTCAGGCAACCATAATGATAGGCAGCACTACCAATTCTGCCTATAATATAGTAGTAAGTATAATATGACATATATACAACAACTGAAAACAGGGTCTTATAATGGGAATTGTCCAGCAACCTTAATAATAGGCAATATTATTTGCCCCCACCTATAATACAATATATATTTTAGTAGTGTGTTTTAAAAAATTATCGTTATTAAAGCTACATATCCCTTCCTCTTACTTAGTCACTATCAGTCCAACTCTAACGGTCTTCGAGAGGGCCACAAAAACAACCTAAAAGGCTTTTCTATAAATAAAAAACATCAGACCTTTAAAGTCCTTTATCACAGGAGCTTCCAGGACTAGAAGGAAGTGCTGGATCCTGTTGTAAAACCAGAAATCTCCCCATTTGCAGTAGGATAGAAGCCCAATTTCTAGCCGTGCAAGAGGTGAAATAAAGGGTCAAATGCTTTCTCTGTACAGAAAAGCAGTTGAAGGTGAAAGATTTAATCTTGCCTAACATGGGAACTGGGCAGGTGTAGTATGGGGGAATTCCACATTTGGGAAAGGAAGAGGGAAACATTTCTATGTTATGCTGATTCCTATTTTTAAATAGCAATTGTTTGAAGCCACTCAGGGATTTGGAATGTTAGGAGAGCCCCCCTGATTAGTGGCCCAAAAGCATGTGGGATTGTCAAAGGTGCTTTACTTGTATATCGCTAAGTCGAAACTGCAGTGTAAAAGTGCATAGCATCCCTGAACGTTTTTTGTTTAATAATCCAACTATAAGCCTTAATTGTGAATTGCCAGTAACATGGTATGTTCTTTCTTTTCAGTAGTTGTTGATATTCAATTAGGAACATGTACTCTGCTCTGTTACACAATGTCAAAACAGATTTCACTGTTCTGAATATGAACTAATAATTTCTAGAGCAAAAATCTTCCGTTTTCTTTTGTTTTTAATTGCCCTACAGAATTGGCAGGAAAGAGGGACAAGGAAAAAGTAAATAAAAAATGTCAGAAGAGCTTTATCTTTCTTAACCAGTGATTTCAGAGAGCAGCTGGGCACATTACTGGAATTATGACAACTCTATGCTGATGTTTCACATAATTCTTAGAGGCCACGATACACCACACGGATTCCACTCAGTACTTTCCAGTCACGCCACAAGAACCACAGACAAAGAGCAACTCTGTTCAGTGGTGGGATCACCCACCCACATACAACTGTCAATATAGGGCTATATGGACACACTTATGTGGAACTTCCACTGGTATCAGTGGGAGTACACAGAGGCCAAGATTTAGTCTTTAGTCTGCAAGCATTTCCTACAACCCAGAGATTACAGGACCAGGAAGGTCATCAGTGAAGCCAAAACTGCTACTGCCAAATATCTGGACTCCATCCAGGATTCCTTCATTTGTCAGATTTATATCAGCTTAGTCAAATAGACAGAACTTTCTAACAGCAGATGGTCACTGAGTCAAGATTTACTTTGTTCCCTGAAGTTTAGGTCATTAATCTGCCTAGTGATTAGATGAGGATATTTTTGTTTGGTACTGTAGATGATAGGGAATGCCCCGCAAGTCCTTTTTTCATGTCTCTTCACATAGCACCTTCAATACTATGATGAATTGCTGGTGGTCTTCATTTAAGAGAAATTTGGATTTAAAAATACCTCTTCTGTTGCAATCAGAAACCTGGTGAGAAATGCCTAACAAATCCATGGATAAGAAAATCATCTGTTCTGTGCTCTGTATCCACCATGAATAGGTGATGACTAGGGCAATCCTCTGGGGAAGACATACAAAAAGGGGTTGAATGAGTATATAAGACCAACTCAATAATAGTGCACTTTTAGCTCTAGGAGAAAAGGCAGGAAAAATATAACTTTTAAAATAAATTCATCTTGGCAAGTTTATCCAATGACACATGAAAGCCATCAACCAAATTTTGATTCATAGATCTGGAGGCGAGATGGGACCATTGTGATCAACTAGCTTGACCTCCTTCATGACACAGACCATAGAATTTCACCCAGTGCTTCCTGCAGCAAAGCCCATAACTTCTTGTTGCACTAAAAGCCAATCTTTTAAAAAAAAATCCAATCCTGATTTAAGTTCTCAAATTCTGCACTGACTTCCACCTTGTAAAGTTCTATTGGAGCCAATGGGTTTGCTCGGGAAGGAAAGCGGTATGTAATATGGCCTCAAGTGACCCTACAATAAATCACCATTAGGTCCAGCATACTGTTTTCATCTAATCTAATCTATCTGGCTATGATGTTACTGAATAAACACCAAGCTCATACATGCAACCCAATAAAGACACAGCAACTGCAAGGTACTGGGGTCTGAGTGGGAAGACGAGAATGAATGCAGGCTGTCTTGTTCTCCTTTTGCATCTTAAATAATCATTACAGGATACACAACGTTATTTCTTGATGCTGTTGTAGACTAGCTAAATGCAAAATTACATTTAAAAGTCGTGTGTGTGTTTAAATATGTAAGACACTATTTACATGACTGGCTAGTGCTGTCAATGATCTTTCAAATGTCACCCAATTTATTCCTTCTCTTTCCTGCTTCTTTTTAAGTCTCTGCTATAAAGAATGATTATTTTATCATGTGTGTGACTGACCTCCAGTCCTAGCAGTTACTCTCACTGTGGGAGGAGTGCAGACTTCCAGATTGCAGACGTAACACAAAGAAAGAATACTGTGTGGGAAAAAGAAAAGTCTGTGTCCTGCTCACACAGCTCCATCTGAAAAGCCTGATGTTGAGTTAACCCATTCAAATTGCTAGGAACATAGGAAATACTAGACTAGACCAGACCTGAAGCTGATCCTGTCTCCAACCGTGGCCAATAGCAGAGTGCTTCAGAGGAAGATGAAAAAAAGCCAGAAAACAATTTGGGGGATAACCTGCCAATAAGAAAAGTTTTTTCTTAAATTAGTTTCTGGTTCATGCACTGTGTGATGCTGTATGATTAAAGATGACCATTTATGTCATTGATATTACCACTGTTATACAATTGCAACAAATCTTGCACAAAGTGTATCATGTAAGGTGTCAATGGAAAAGTTATAATCTATCAAGTGTGATTATCCTGATTAAATCCATGCATCATCTTTGTATCTGAAGTTATTAATATTGGCTATGTATTTGTATCTCCAACATGTGTTTTGTTCATGGGTGACAGCCTCCAGATAGATTTGCATCACGGCTAGACAACTATGTGTTGATGGCCCATTAAGGATACTCCACTCTCACAATGGGCCATCGAAGAAACTCATCCCGTCCAGTTACCTCTTCCTGTGGATACCTCATCCAGTGAGGAACCAATGGCTATGCCCTGTGATTCAGCAAAACATATAGGGGCATGTGATATGCTCATGTGACCCTCTACTCCATCTTGGGCCAGTAACTTTCCATACACAGGGCCTTTGGGCTTTGTTTGGGACAGTAAATTTCCATGCATACAGCAAAAGACCTCTAAGGCAACTCCATTTTGCCTCTATCCTGCTCTAATTCTCTGGACTGTGGACTTACAACTAAAAAGGAGCATCTTGAACTATGGATTGAGGATCTTCCGAAGTTACCAGAGAGACTTTGCAC